ATCCCTGATTTTTAACTGAGCACATGAATGCCTGGAATAAAATCTACTTTTCCCAGCTTTCCTTACAGTTAGCGCTATCAGAGAAGTAGTGAAAGTGGTAATTTGTATTAAACTCTAACAAGTCAAAGGTTTTGCTTTATTGCTGCCAATTTCTGAGATAATAGAAAAAAATATGAAACAACTGTCTTGGACACTGGGCAACAGGCAGCCCAGGACACTGATCTCTGAGAGAAGAAAAATGAGTTGAAGCAATCATTATGATCACACAGGCTTTCTTCAATTTCTGGATCACTAAACAGGGAGATGGTGATTCACCGATAGCCTGGCACATTTGGTGAGTTTATGCGGTAGGGATATAAGTTTGGGGAGGTCAAGGTGGCTAGAGTTTGCAAGGCAAAATACAAGAGAAGAGAAAGCTATGTAGGGAAGGAACTTAGAAATCTGCATGGCTTCTCCTCCAATCTTTGGCTGAGTAGTAATCTGTGCATGTGTTGCAGCCATCAAAATGCACCTCCCAGAGCTCCAACTGCAGGGAGTGTAATTTAACTTAAACCAAAAGAATTAGAAAAATTATCCAGGGGCTTCCCTGGTGGCGCAGTGGTTAAGAATCACCCGCCAGGGGCTTCCCTGGTGGCGCAGTGGTTGAGAGTCTGCCTGCTAATGCAGGGGACACGGGTTCGAGCCCTGGTCTGGGAGGATCCCACATGCCGCAGAGCAGCTAGGCCCATGAGCCACAACTACTGAGCCTGTGCGTCTGGAGCCTGTGCTCTGCAACAAGAGAGGCCGCGACAGTGAGAGGCCTGCGCACCGCGATGAAGAGTGGCCCCCGCTCACCACAACTAGAGAAAGCCCTCACACAGAAACAAAGACCCAACACAACCAAAAATAAATTAATTAATTTAAAAACTCCTACTCCCAACATCTTCTAAAAAAAAAGAATCACCTGCCAATGCAGGGGACACAGGTTCAAGCCCTGGTCCAGGAAGATCCCACATGCTGCAGAGCAACTAAGCCTGTGCACCACAACTCTGAGCCCGCGTGCCTAGAACCCATGCTCCACAACAAGAGAAGCCACCACAATGAGAAGCTTGAGCACCCCAACAAAGAGTAGCCCCCGCTCGCCACAACTAGAGAAAGCCTGTGTGCAGCAACAAAGACCCAATGCAGCCAAAAATAAATAAAACAAATAAATTTTGTTTTGTTTTTTGTTTTGTTTTGCGGTATGTGGGCCTCTCACTGTTGTGGCCTCTCCCGTTGCGGAGCACAGGCTCTGGACGCACAGGCTCAGCGGCCATGGCTCACGGGCCTAGCCGCTCCGCGGCATGTGGGATCTTCCCGGACCGGGTCACGAACCCGTGTCCCCTGCCTCGGCAGGCGGACTCTCAACCACTGTGCCACCAGGGAAGCCCCCAACAAATAAATTTTTTAAACAAAGGACTTGATCTTTTAAAAAGAAGAAAAGAAACAAGAAAAATTAGCTAGCTTACCGGGAGGATTCAGGAAAATATCCCTGGAATTAGATTTTTGGGTGTTTGATCAAGGTGACTGGAATATAAGCCTAGATAAGCAAGAATTCATTGACTTGAGGGAACCTTCTCAGGACACGAGATTTAACACCCTAGCAAGGACCTTAGGGGTTATAGAAAATACACTGCTGTGCTTGCTCTTAAGCCTGGGGAAAACTGTGGCCAACGCTCACGGAAGTAGAAATGTCTGAATTGCCCTTACAGTGACAAAGGAAGAAATAAATAGACTGAAGGAAGTGGGCATGCTAGAATAAATGTATTATATAAGACCAGAAGACAACCAGACAATAATGTTCCATGGGAGGACCCAGGGGACCTGTCATTCACCAAGTCCATTAAGAATACCCTGGTGATAAATCAACTATACTTCAATTTAAAAAAAAAAAAAGAATACCCTAGTGAAAGGAAGTGCAAGACTTATATACTGAAACCTATAGCAAAGAGACTAATGCTGAGCCCCTGGCATGGCATTATTTTTTGAGGAGACTAACTGGCTGCTTGGTGGCAAGTCAAATATATCAGGCTCTTTCCATCCTTGAAGAGCTAGGGTTTCATCCTCCCTGAGATAGATACCCATTCTGAATATGGCTATGCTTTCCTGCCTGCAGATTCTTGGTAGCCTGGAACTTACAGAAAACCTGATGCACAAGCATGGAAATACACACAGCGTAGCATCCAACCACTTCACATTGAAGGAGGTGTGGGTGTGGTCCCATAACCATCATAGAACACTGGATGCTTTATAAGGTGCAGTTGAAGTGACACCTCAGAGGCAATCTTATAAAAGGATGATATGCCACTCTTCAGGATGCAGAACATGTGTTAAATCAGAGGAATTTTGTAGAGTGCTGTATCCCTAGTAGGAATAATAGGGTGCTAGATCCCCATGGATTTGGGGACCAAGGCATGGAAGGAGGATTAGTTCCATTTAACATCACTCCTAATGACCTACTTTGGGATGTTGTACTTTCCATCCCTGGCAACCCAGGGTTTTGGCAGAATTGGAGTTCCTGGTCTCCAGAAGGGGCACACTCTTGCTAGGGGCCACAGCAAGAGTCCCATTGAACTAAAAATTTGAGTTGTCACCATGGAATTCTGGATTCCTTGTGCCCATGGCAAGCAAGAAGAGGAGTCACCATATTGGTAGGGGTAATTGGCCCTGAGCAGCAGGAGGTAGGATTACTGCTACACGAAGGGGGCAAGGTGGGATATGTGTTAAACCCAAGATATCCATTTGAGTACCCCGTGTTACTCCCTCATACTACTGTAACTGTGAATGGACTCATGTAGCAACTTCTGACTGAGGACGGTATGATTACCAAGGGTTCAGACTGCCCAGGAATGTAGGTTTGGGTCACGCTACCAGGTAAACCACCAAGACCTGCTAAAATGATGACTTGTAGGTGAGGAAAATGCAAAATGAATCGTGGAGGAGGATAAGTACCAGTTGCAGCCCTGAGATCAACTGCAGTGATGAGGGCAGTAATTTGTGTCATTGTTCTCCATCCTCTGAATTTCCTTTCAAGAAGGGTAACAGGAATCATGGAGGAATCTCTCTCCAAATTGTGAGAAGTAGATATATGTGGTGCAATGGGTGAATCTCTGGTGGCCACAAAAATGTACCTCTTAGATCTCTGACTGTGGAGAGCATAAGTGAGCCCCAGCTGCTGCACTCTGAAATCTGGCACCGCATTTGCACTAAAGCTACACTTCCCACATGTTAATCCCAGTTAATGACTGAGCTCATCAGGGATATAAGGCAGGCCTGTTCCTGAGAAATGCAGTTTTCCTGATGGGAGACTAAAGCTTGAGGATTCCACATCAACTTCCCAAACTTCCTTGGAGCTACAGTGCGGTGTAAATGTTTTCCACTCAGTCTTACTTTCATTCCTCTCCCCTTCACAAGGGTTAGACCTGCATTGCAATCTTACGACTCTCTTAGCTACCCCTGGCTCCCTTCCCATTTTTCCTTATAGGTGTTTACTTCCATAAATCTCTTTCATGTCAAATCCTCTTCTTGGCATCTGCTTCTTGGAGTAACCAGACTGACAAGGCATGCATAGAGGAAATTTATGAGGCCAGTCAAAGAATATCTGCCAGGGAGCTATAAGCTGAATACTTCCTAGAGATCACACCGAGCTAGGAGAAACTCAAGTTTCTGACAGCCAGTGTGGAACGATGTTGTTGAATAGCTGCATATTCAGTAGAGATCCCAGAAGAATCATACGTTAGCAGGATGAATAAAGGTCATAGAATAAAGGTCAATTTAGATCTTCTCTTAAAAGCAAGCTCTAACAGACGAGGCTGATCTGAAAGTAACTCGAATGATTGTCAAAACAAATTTCAACCTCTCTGAAGGAAAAAAACTACTAATACTCAACCATGTAATGATCATAACACCTCCCATTCAAACTAAAATTACTAGACTTGAAAACAACTCAAAAAAGTGACCCATAATGAAAATTAAAAATCAATCAATAGAAAGAGATAAAGTAATGATGATGGGGGACTTCCCTGGTGGTCCAGTGGTTAAGACTCCGTGCTTCCACCGCAGGGGGCACAGGTTCAATCCCTGGTTGGGAAACTAAGAACCTGCAAGCCATGTGGTGAGGCCAGGAAAAAAAAAAAGCTGATGGATTAGCAGACAAGGACTTGAGAACAGCTATTATAAAATGCTCAAATATTTAGAGGAAAACAGAAACATATTGAAGAAAGAAGTAGAATATTTTAAAAGATCCAAATGGAACTTCTAGAGCTAAAAAATACATTATATGGGGGGCTTCCCTGGTGGCGCAGTGGTTGAGAGTCCGCCTGCCGATGCAGGGGATACAGGTTCGTGCCCCGGTCCGGGAAGATCCCACATGCCGCGGAGCGGCTGGGCCCGTGAGCCATGGCCGCTGAGCCTGCACGTCCGGAGCCTGTGCTCCGCAACGGGAGAGGCCACAACAGTGAGAGGTCCGCGTACAGCAAAAAAGAAAAAAAAAAAAAAAAAATACATTATATGAAGTGAAATGAAAATTCACTGAATTGAGTCCAAAGCAAATTAGATACTGTAAAAGAAAATATCAGTGTCTTTAAGACATAGCAATAGAAACCATCCAAATTGAAGCATAGAGGAAGATGGAAATAAAATGAAACAAAACTGAAATAAAAGCAAAATGACTCTGGTACAATATTAATCATTGTAACATACATGTAATTGTGTTCCTAGAAAAATAGAGGAAAGGGCAGAAAAAATATTTGAAAAAGAATAACCGAAATGTTTTCAAATGCATTGAAAACTATAATTCCTCAGATCCAGGGAGGTAAATAAATCCCAAGCAGGATAAACACAAAATTTCAGCAAGGCACATAATAATCAAATTGCTAAAACTCAGGGTGTATTAAACACAGGTTTTATTATTATTCTGGTATGGTGAGGCCAACAGATCAGGAGAAAACTACCATTGAAAAGATTGTTGTTATACTCAACAGATCTCAAGAGAAGGAAGCACAACATGCCACAGAGGGCCACAAGGGGAAACATCAGCGTTGGTCAGGAGGCAGAGGGAATGAGGGGGAAACCTGGGAAAGAGCTTTTATTGTGGCTTCCACAGGGAAGAATGTGCTAAGCAGGTAAGCAATCTTAGGAATGGCTAGTTTGAATAATTTCAGCAGGCTCTGCGGGGTAGAGGCTGTCCTTAGTTGTCCTGTACCTGGCCCTGGGGTGATTAGGGCAGGGGAATAGTGGCCTGGAGTGTAAGAGCCTGATAAAAAAGTTAGTTGGCATATGGACACATATGGATTGACTGCATATGAAAGACATGTTTACAGGTGAGTTCTATTTCTAGGCATTGACTAGCCCTAGGAGGAGGCAGTCGCTCAAGGGTCAGCAAGACTTCAAGATGCCAAAGTATAGAAATACAGAAAATTAAAACATATGATCAATATGCAGGGATATGGAGAAAATGTAAAAGTGGAGGACATGCAGGCTTCAGTAGTTGTGGCACACAGGCTCAGTAGCTGTGGCTTGTGGGCCTAAGCGCAGGCTCAGTAGTTGTGGCATACGAGCTTAGTTGTTCCACAGCATGTGGGATCTTCCCAGACCAGGGCTCGAACCCGTGTCCCCTGCATTGGCAGATGGATTTTTAACCACTGCACCACCAGGGAAGTCCTATTTATTTATTTTTGCTGCTGCTGCTTGTGTCAATTTTGTAAGTTATGTTTTTCTAGGAGTTTGTCCATTTCATTTAAAATTTCAAATTTGTCAGCATAAAGCTGTTTATAATATCCCTTATAAAAGTCTGTAGGATTTGTAGTGAAGTCTCAGTTTTCGTTATCAATGTTGGTCATTTGTGGTTTCTCTCATTTTTTTCTTGATAAGTTTTGACAGCAATTTATCAGTTTCAGAGTCTTTTCAATGAAGTTGATCCACTCTATGTATGTTTGTTTTCTGTGTCTGCTTCTGTATTATTTTTTTCCTTCTCCTTTCTTCAGGTTAAATTTTATGTTCATTTTCTAATTTAAGTCATTGATTATCAGCCATTATTCTTTTTCTAATAAGCAATTTTAAAGTTATAAATTTACTTCCAAGCACAGCTTTAACTGTACTGAAAGTTTCTATATGTAGTATTTTCATTATTATTCAGTAAAAGATATTTTCTAATTTCCTTTGTGATATCTGCTTTGACCCATGAACTATGTAGAAATGTGCTTCTCAGTTTCCAAACATGTGAATATCTTTGAAGTTGGAATTTAGCTTAATTAGAGTGTGGTCAGAGAACACGCCGTATTATTTCGGCCCTTTGAAATGTAGTTACTTGTTTTATACACCAGCATATAGTAAATTTGGGTGCACTGTTCTATAGATGTCAATTAGGTCAAGAGCGTTAATTATAGTGCTTAAATCTTTATACCATTTCTGCTTCTTTGGCATGTGCCTATTCTAACAGCTATTGAGGGGTGTGTGTTAAAATCTCTGACTATGATTGTGGATTTGTCTATTTGTTCTTTTTGATTCTATCAATTTTTTATTTATATACATTTAAGGCTATGTTTTTAGGTGCATAAAATTTAGATTTGTTATATTTCCCTGGTAAAGTGTACCATATTTCATTATGAAATATATCTTATCTCTAGTAATGCTTCTTGCCATAAAGTCTTCATCTGTTATCAGTACAGCTACGCTAGCTTTTTTGTATGGTACATATTTTTATTTCCTTTTACTTTCAGTATTGCTGTATATTTCATATAAATAGTTTTTTTTTAAGCAGCATATGGTTGGTGCTGGCCATTTAAAATTTTTTTTTTTTGCGGTACGCGGGCCTCTCACTGTTGTGGCCTCTCCCGTTGCGGAGCACAGGCTCCGGACGCGCAGGCTCAGCGGCCATGGCTCACGGGCCCAGCCGCTCAGCGGCATGTGGGATCCTCCCGGACCGGGTCACGAACCTGTATCCCCTGCATCGGCAGGCGGACTCTCAACCACTGCGCCACCAGGGAAGCCCTGGAGTATCATTCTGATACATGCATAATGATCCCCCATGTACTCATCACCCAGATTTAACAATTATCAACTCATGGCCAATTCTGTTTCATCTATTCCGCCACTTATTTCCTCCCCTCTTGTATTAATTTGGAGCAAATCCTAGACATCAGTATAATTCTTTCCTAAATATTTCAATGTGTATATCTAAAAGCTAAGTCCTCTTTTTATAAAGACATAATTACATCTTTACAACAGTTATTAAGTTTTTTTTTTAATATATAAATTTATTTTATTTTTGGCTGTGTTTGGTCTTCATTGCTGCATGAGCTTTCTCTAGTTGTGGTGAGCAGGGGCAACTCTTCATTGTGGTGCACGGGCTTCTCATTGCAGTGGCTTCTCTTGTTGCAGAGCACGGGCTATAGGCACACGGGCTTCAGTAGTTGTGGCTCGTGGGCTCTAGAGCACAGGCTCAGTAGTTGTGGCGCGCGGGCTCAGTTGCTCTGCGGCATATGGGATCTTCCCGGACCAGGGATCAAACCCCCATCTGCTGCATTGGCAGACGGATTCCCAACCACTGTGCCACCAGGGAAGCCCCACAGGTTGTTTTAACAGAACAAGCAGCCTCCTCTCTCAAACATTTTACTTTCGTACTCACTGTAATCCCAGCTTCTCCTTAGTTCACCTGTCTTATATTCAGGCTCTCATCCATCATTTGGGCTACTGCAGTCTAGTATCCTCTGCCAGGTCCATGGTGCAGTCTTGAAAGTGCTGCTCTCATTGTTGGCATAGTGGTGCTTATGTGACAATTTGAATATTTTACTTTTTTGGGGGGTAAAAATGAAAATTATTTGCAGTGGAAAAATGAGATTGCTGATGCTAGTGATTAGTAGCCTCACTCCTCACACACACACAAAAAAGAAGCCTCACTCTCATGAATGTGATCGCATTAAGACAAAGATGAGCTCCTTAGGGGTGCTAAGAGGGTGCTAATTAATCTTAAGCCTCATCTGGACTCTTACATGCCAGATGTCACATGTCAGATGACGTATTCAGTTGTGAAGGAAAGGAAAAAAAGAAAGAATATCTGTAAGTGCTGGAAATATATTATTTGACACTGTGATTAAAATGTGAGACATAATTGGGGATTTTATAATGTTTTTAGCTTTCTGGGAATGAAGTGTCCTTAAAACATTTAAACAAAATGTATGTTTGACCATACACCTGACTTTTGAATATGTTTTCAGAAACACGAAACTGCATGTCGTTGAATAGGCTTCCTTTCCCACAGTTACCCACAGAGCTAGAACTCTGGAGATAGAGGGAGAAAACCAGCCTAGCTCTGCTCCTGGTCGTAGGACTCAGGCAGTCTAGGAAAAGGGGGAGGTGAGCTCTGCCTGGGACAAGAAGACACTCCTCTTTTTCTGGCAATCCAGAGCAATTACTTCATGAGATGTCATCGTGATGACATGTGCCCAGTTTAATGCCCCCAATATGCTGTCCAACTGCATTGTTTCCTGCTGTAGTAGGCGCTGTAGGAGTCATCTTCTGGTATTTGGGTGAGGCAGGGACCTGAGCGAGTCTCACTTCAAGTCATGTTGACACTGAGAACCTGGCACTGACATAAAGCATCATTTAGTACAAGGCAGAGGACTCTTTCTGCAGCTAAAACTCAATGGTAATCACTGACCTCATGGTCTTGACAATCTATAGGGTTAGAGGATGCAGCGTGGATATGCAGCCTTCACCATCTGTTCTGCTCTCGAATTACAAACACACCACGAACACACATCACAACTGCATCATCAGGAAAAGGAGGCTAAAAGTGCTTCTAGCCCTGTACCATATTTTAGGTCCAACACTTTGTGCATTTATTTTGGAAAAAGCTTTGGGTGCAGAGGAAGTCATAGTTTGATCATATCGTTTGAATCTGACAACATCACTGATAGAACTTTTCCCTTGATATTCCCCTAAACTCAGCTATGTTCAATTGTATTTCACTGTATTTGCTCTCAAGAGGTAAATTCTGCTTGGTAGTAGGGGAAATGGTCATGGTCCTTGGGTTAAAATCTAGCTTATACTTTGAGATTATTCTGTACAAGAGGACCTCAGGGAAACAGAGTATAACAGTAATGATAATGAGCCACAGCTTTATTCAACAATCATTGTATTTGAGTGAATTGCATTGAGTTACCAATGTCTGTTTACTAACTAGATTGTGAACAGTTGTATGGCAAAGAACCAAGTTTTCTTCATCCTTTCTTCCCTGTGGCACTTAGTACATGGCAGGGATTCAGTAAAGTAAAGCAGAGAAGATATGTATCTAAATAATATAATTATGTAAGGCAGAAAGTAGTTAGTGTGGAGAAAGAGGTATGAATGATCTATGGGATCCTAGAAGGAGAGATGAGACTGGGGGAACTAAAAATGCTTCAAGGGGTAGTGTTTCTTGACAGATAGATGGACCTTAATAGACTGAAATAAGGGCTATCATATATTGGATGTTTATTATGTGCTGGGCACTGTGCTAAGCATTTTGCTTGCATAATCCAACAGAATCCTCCAAGCAACTCTATGAGAAAAGCACTATCATTATCCCCATTTTAGAGATGAAGAAATTGTGGCTCAGGCAGATTAAGTGATTTTATCAAAGTCACACAGCTGGAAGGTGACAGAGTCAGGATTGGATCTAGTCTGACATGATGGGTATGCTCTTAAACACTGGACTATACTGTTCTTTTTTTTTTTTAATTAAAAAATTTTTTTAATTATTTATTTTTGGCTGCGACTGTTCCTTTTCCTAGGAAGTGAAATAAGTCTTTTAGGGTTTGGAAAAACATGGACCATGTTCTAAAAATATTTACTAGTTGATGTGGCTGGAGAATAGAATATGTGGAGATTGGAGAACAGTGGGAGATAAGGTTGTTCCAATAAGTCCGGGACACATCTCAGAGAACTTGGAATGCTATCCTAAGGAATCAGGGATTTTTGGAAGGTGATGGAAGTATTACATGCCTATTATTGAAGTGGCACGATTAGATATGTGCTTTAGGAAGACAACTCGATGTGAAGGAGCAGGATGAGAAGCAGAAAAACCAGTTAGGTGGCTCTTGTAGTAGTGGTACAGGAGTGAAAAGGCATGCAGAGCCCCAAGAATATGTGATGTCCTCTTGCAAGCCTAGTTGAGATTGTTTCATTTTAAGAAAAATAAGAACATGTTTAAAAATCTAGACTCAAAAAGAACATAGGGACTTCCCTGGTGGCACAGCGGTTAGGACTCGTGCTCCCAATGCAGGGGGCCAGGGTTCGACCCCTGGTCAGGCAACTAGATCCCACATGCATGCCGCAACCAAGAGTTCGCCTGCCACAACTAAGGAGCCCATGTGCCGCAACTAAAGGAGCCCATGAGCCACAATTAAGGAGCACGCCTGCTGTAACTAAGACCCAGCACAACCAAATAAATACATAAATAAAAATAAATAAATATTTTTTTAAAATAATAATAATAAAAAAGCCCTTAAAAAAAGAACATAATT